ATCCTGCTTATCAGGCCTAACAATCAACAAGAAACATCGTCACCTGACTATAATGAACAGCAAACCATTTCCTGAAACCAACCCCACCTCATGCGCATCCCATTMAAGGMTTTCTGATTTTGTAAGCTTTCCATGCTTAGGTCTGAAGGGCAGATCTACTGYTATCATACTACGGACTTTGCAAATGATCGAAGCAACTGGGATCGAATATAAAGTGCATATATGTCTTTGGTGAACAAGGGCAAGGGTTGACGATGTGCAAATGCTGAAAATCCGCAAAAGAGATTAACCCATCGATTTTGATTTTGATTCGAGTTCTTCAGSCGCTGTTCTTTGCTCTTTGATTTAGATCTTTCATGWAYGGCGGCAATTAATAARGTGAGACTTCAAACATCCATTCTCAAACATTACTACAAAATTTCCAAAAATTAATTTGCGTCATCTATTACAATTTATTGCTTCAYACAAGTCGTTTTTCAATGACAAGATTACTTTATTGTAACTATTTACACATTCAGATTATACTCAAGTTTGGATTATTTCAATACACCTACTTGCAGAAACGTTGTCATAGGAAATAGGACATTTGTATTTAGTAAAAAGGAATAAATTAAAAAAAGAAAAAGGAAGATCACTGAGGCTGAACGCTTTCTTTTGTCTTGTTTTAATTAATTCCTTTTTACTAAATTCAAATGTTCTATTTTCTATGACAACGTTTCTGCAAGTAGGTGTATGTCATTATATCTATGTGGATTTTCAAGAATGTTCTTCAATATATACRCATATGAATTAATTTGACTAAATTTTTGTTCTACCTTTCCTTCAATGTTATGCAATGATTTTAAGAGAGCAGAAGGCAAAAAGTSTTAAAACAGCTCCAACATCACTTTGCTTAACGATATTGATCCGTCTAAGCAAAATGGATCTCTTTTTGGTCAAGAGCGATATATTCTAAAAGCCWTATATGATTCATTTCAAGAATGGGACGTTGCTCTCAACAGATGTCTTCTAAAATGTCCTTCTTTATAAAAACGTTTGATGACTTGTCGTGAAGAACTTCTTCAGATTTGGAGATGCTAGAATTGCTTACCTTTTTYTTACTTAAAGATATTGCTTTCACTCCAAACATCTTCAATACATCCATCTTCTTCTTTTGTGTTCCTATACACCCTTTTAATAAGTCCCGAGGCATTGTTTTCTCCGCACTTGACGTCAAATTTATTCTTTTGAAATTTTTACAATACAAAAGGAATTSAAAAGAATAWATTTGACGTCAAGTGCGGAGAACGTAATACCTCGGGACTTATTAAAAGGGTGTATATTGCCTTCGTCTTGTTCGTTTTTTGTGTGTGATACATTAGTATAGATGTCACCAGAAAATATAAAATGAAATTGTGCAACAATTTATTAACGCATTACATTAATATATAACATTATACATAATCATATGTACTTTGCTTTATATCGTCTTTCATATACGCTTAATTGCTTGACAGTATCAAACAGAGTCAACATAACGAGAATAGGCCTAAATGCATGAAAGGGTCATATGGAACTAAATTCGCCATGCTGGATGGCAAAAGAATGTAAACAACCTCAAAAACAAAAGGAATCCGGTCCTTCAAGTTTTGCTTCTTTGTTTTGAACATACCAGTGGGCATTTCGTCATCCAGTATATTGGATCCAGCATCCATCTGATGTATTTTAAAAGTACCGTTCTTTTGAATTGGTTGAGTACTTCTGTCAACACTTAAAGATTATTTGAGATTCTTTATTACTTGGTAACTCAGTGAGAGGAAATAATAATTGTGTAAAATGTTATACTTAAGCACGCAAAACGATCGACTGGACCATTCACTATGAGTCATTAGTCTACGCATCGCCAACTTAGATTCGACGAAGYATGAATATGGATGCCCCAACAACTGGACTAAGCGATACCATGCAAGTAGTGTGGTGTGTACTGTATGCCATCGAATCGTTTCTGATTATCACTGCCAACATTATGGCAATTACCATCTTTATGAAGAAGAAGTTTCTCATCTCCAAATCGTGCTACTTAATCATCAATCTGACTGTCGCGGATGTTCTTGTTGGCGTTTCTGCTTTCATTGCTTCGATGGAAATTTGGTTCGCTAAAGAAAATCTTCTTGGTGGTTGTAGGGGAAAATCCTTGAACAAATTCTCAAAACACTTTACTGTTTTCACGTGTTTAGCGTCTTTGACCTCTTTGGTGATAATGGCCATTGAGAGAGCGTTGGCAATTCTTCTGCCGCTACAATCTCGTCTTGTGTGCAAGAGGCACTATTACTATGCAATATCAATCTCTTGGGGTGTATCACTGTTGATACATTTTCAAAACTTTGCTTGCTCCAGCAAAATCATACAAGATTTCTTTCAGTTATACTTGGAGCTTGTCGTAATGATGTCATTGTTGGTAATCGGAATTTCGTACGCTGCAATTGCAGTTAAGAATTCGTTTTTCCCTAACATTAATTCCAGTGTTGCAATGAAAAACAACTTGAAACTAASCAAGACACTGATGGTACTAACATTCATAACCTTTATATTCTGGATACCAACTTCCGTCATTTTAGGCGAAAACACGACACAAGATATGGTGTCAGGCGGTAACGTAGAACTAGCTATGCTAATGATCATTTGTAACAACTCGCTTGCAAATCTTCTTGTTTACACAATCCGAATGCCACTTTTTCGTCGGATATTATTAAGGACGATAGGTTGCAGTTGTAGTGCAAATAAGGTGTCTAGTATAAAGACATCTAGAAATACTAACATTCAAACGACGCCACCTGTAGCAAGAGACATGCCTTGACCATGGTATAGCCTCTTTTGAGTAAAAAGAACTCTTTCATGTATATAAAAAGGGATTGTACATTCATTTGTAAAATTGAGATCAATTAAAGGTGAATTTTATCTATTATTATAGTGATCATTTATAATTCAAATAAATACTCAAATTCAAAAATTCAAAAAATAATGATAAGGTCATGTTGATAAGAGGTATTAATTGTTTTCAATTTGATTTAGATCGAGATTTACTCAGATCCATTTATTTTACAGGCCTCTACTATTAACATTATATTAGGGCTTTTACCAAAGTAATATAAAAATTAGGTAACACCTAATAGCGGAGCTCCAATAGCAATATAGAAGCTGAAAATGATTATCTAGTGATGCTATTTCAATATTTCTGTCAGCAGTGCTGTTATTTCGCTCTTCTGTGGATTTTTTCCTTATGATTAATTGTTCTATTATTATCAATATGGAATATAAATGTTTAAGGAAAAAATGATTTTTCAAGCGGAGTATGGGTTTCCTGTGGTGGTACACGGAATCCAGGAAGGAAGGACGGAAGGAAACGTGCGTACGCGCGGGATCCCTGTGTCGGTCCATGAAAAATGGACTCGATGGTATACCATTTTTTCTTAGCTATGGTGCTCCGCTATAAAATAGCCCTCAAAAGATAATTTGCTATTTATTACTTGTTTTGACGAAAACTTGAAAATGTTTTCTTAGTTGTATTCTTCGCTCTAGGATGCCAGATCTCAACAAAATGCTGTGAGCAATAAGCATTTGATTTTGATAAATCATCCATATTGAATGAAACTTTAAAACTGAAATGACCAAATCGTTTTGATGAGAACAAGTGGTGCTCAACTTTTTAAGATAGCTACTCTGCCAACTTGACAAATATTTCTTTGTCACAAATTTCTAAGTTTAAAAAGAGTAACTGAAACCGTATCCTCTCTAATTTTATATGAGCTGGATTTTATTATGGTGTATCATGTTTATTATGGTGTAAAAAAAATCGACTTGGACCTTCGCATTCCACAATCCGAGAGGTCAAAGAATGGCAGTTCTTCGAAGGAAAATGGATCCGGTTTAGGTCAAGTGTTTTTATCTTTTTTTTGGCACAGAAAATATTTGAATAAGAAGAATGTATTACATACATTTCTTTGTATTTTCATTAAAAATACGTGAATTCAGTCGACCAGATAATTTATGCTCATCGCGCCATGTTGTACCAAATTTCTGGGAATGCTTTCATTTTGAAAGAAAAATTGCTGAACCCATATCTGCACTTTAATAGAAAAGAGGCACTGAGCTCATTCGCACATCATAAAAATGCTCCATAATAAAACATAATTAAAAGGAAAAAAAAATTCGTAAAAGCAAAAATATCCAGTGACACTGAAATTATAAGCTCATCATTCTTCAAAACAATCTCCTTCTAATCAAAAGTTCAAAAATCTGCATACATTTTCTTGGAAAGCGTTTTTATCAAATATCTGTTCTATGAAAACCGCTTTTATTTTAATTTACTGTTAGTTATACGAGTATTCATTGTTCATAAAGCTTCAAGATTCACTACACCCAGCTCTACCGATGACACCATGCCGGGTGCTCGTCGCAGGCACAATGCCTTTACGCTGCTGAACAAACCTTTGAATGCACTACGGTAGTTTTCACTGAAGATATAGTATATAACCAAGTTCAATAAGCCATTGAGATACTTAAAAGAGCATGCAAGGGGCCAAAGAATTCCTATCACAAATACAGAGTTAGTGGAGTAAATATGTACAAGAGAACTGGCAATAAACACAGGCACCCAACCTACAACAAAAGCCAAAACAACTGATATTATCATGTAGGTTACTTTCCTAGATGTGCTATCAGCAGCTTGTTGGCCACCTTCTCCGGGGACTTGTCTCTTCAACAATTTGTAACCAATCGCAAAGCAGAGAATCATAACGAGGACAAGAGGAACCAGAATACCACTAATTAAGACCGCCATAACGGGAAGTATGTTCCGGCTCCATTTGGCAAGGTGATCAAGTCTTGTCCAACGATAGATATTAGTGCCAGGCCAACTGAGACTAACCATGTCAACATTATAAAATATTTGCTTGACGAAAAATAGTTTTTGTGTTTCAGAGGGCGACACACTGCCATCAATCTATCAAACGATATCACCACAAGACTAAACGTTGAACAAACACTGACTACAAAATGAATAAGGGTATACGCATGCGCACTGCAGGTGATCCGACCTAAAAGCCCTGAGAACCAAGCAAACCAACTCATTGTGTATTTAATGACATAAATACCGCCAACCAGAGTATGAAGGATATCAGTACACGCCATGTTGACGATGAAGTAGTTGGTTGTTGTCTGCATGTGTCGGTTAACTCGAACACTGTAGACGATGATGATGTTACTGAAAATTGAAGTCAATGCTGCAATTACCATCAAGCAAATTACCCCTGCTTTAAACCAGGGATCCACTTCGTGTGACCGCATCAAGCGTGCATAGTCTACAACATGAAAAAATAAATGGTATAATAATTTCGTAAAAGAACTTGAAGAGCGATAAGAGCTGACCCTGTGCACTACATTCTGTTTTCTCCATTTTTTTATGATTTTTTACCTTGAAACCCTGAGGTGTCTTTGGGAAATGTAGCTTGTGAGAGGGAAAAGAAAGATAGACTACCCACAACAATGAAAGAAATGCTCAGTACTTTCTTCATAGACATTGCAGAACTAAATATGAGCACAGGATCGAAATCTGTCGCCACGGTTTATAGACAAGTAATGGAGATGTCCGAAAGATTACATTACATCCGTCTCATACAATTCTTTTAATGAAAATGAAATTACTTATCGCGACATCTATAGAATTTGGCCA